ATTAGAAAAGTGAAAAACAGAGTATTACAGTGCCTTGCTATGTGTCCCACGTTATCTGAGAAATAGCTCTAAAAAGTGGCCTCCAGTTCCCCCAGGCTCATACCATAATATATAGCTGTCATTTATCCATTCTCTTTGGAACCAAACAACAAAACAAATGTATCACAATTCTGAGGATCTTAGTGAATGAAATTATCTCATTGACACAAATGAAATTTGGATAGATTAATTAACAGATTTGCATTTACAATTACCATGAGTACCCCTCACCATCTTATGTAGAAGCTGGCCCCTCTCCTCTGTAACATATCATTTTGAACCACTGAAAAGTTACCTTAATGTGTTTCTCAGATCTGTTTTTCCCTGCTTTCACAGAGAGGAACAGCATGGTGAAATGCACTTCTCGAGACCAGAGATGTGGTGACTAAATCACCTGTGGTGAGTATATCAGTAGGAGCTAAGCCAGCCATGAGTCTCATTATAGACATGACCAAAAATCAATACTAGTGAGCAAGTTCGTCTGTTGAGAAGCACATCTCAAACCTTCGCTCCCTAATCATTGCTATTCAGACTCTTACAAATTATACAGAACAATTGAGAAAGCTTAGGCATTGAGAAGTAAATTTTAGTATGAAAACATCCATGGCAATAAATTGATAGATACTGCTAGTATCAGAAGCTCTGCCTGAACTCCCAATTCCTACTTTGACATTCTATACAGTGACATTTATTAATTTACTGTTTGAAAGTGAGACACTCTCTGATGAAACTGTAGTAGTTTCCTGAGCAGAAGAAAATCCCCTCCTCAGAGAAAAGATTCAAAAGACTCTTCTGTAACTGAACAGTGATGACATAATCAATTACTTAACCCCTTATCAACTTTTCTGTAACACTCTTTTTAGTATCAGTTCAACAGACTTAGCCTCAAAGCATTTGAATCTGGGGCAGATAAAGCCTATAAAAGAAAAAAGAAAAAAACAGAGAAGAGAGAACTGTACAGTCATGCGTTATATCTCATTTAAATTTAGTGGAAGTGAGTTTATGACACCATTAGAACTTTGAAACATGGTTTATTTATGAAAAGAACAGCAATGTAACAGCATTTAACATCTCTTTACGTGTACCATTTCCATAGTTGCTTCATTAATGCAAAAATATACTCTACCAACATAGCACAAGTTTGGTTACCTGCTAATTAAACGTAAAATACCTACATTATTAACAAAAACATCAAACTTAGAGAAGGAAACTAATATTTTTGCTGTGGTGCTTAGGTTTCTCAGTATACCTGAATCCAGACTGTGTGCAATTTGTGTGCAACAAATTAGATGCAGCTCTTGTATCAGTTGGGAAAATACCAGAAAGGAGCCACTGATAGGCCACATAATCTGTGAATGTTAAATTCCTCTCTTGATCTTTCTGGGCCAAATCAGTCACTCCTTTGATTATTATGTAAATGACTGCTTTTCAATGTAGCAATTTCTAAGTGGCCCATGATTTACTCATCAGTGCAGCCGAAGTTCTAAATCTTTACACTAAGGAAAGAACAGAGCAACAGCTTCTTCTAAGAAAGCCGGTTAACTGGCAGCCTCACTAAGGATATCAAGAACTACATGAAAGGGAGATGAAATAATTCTTTTACCATTGCTGATAGCCTTTCAGGCCAAAAGAGACACATACAGCCTTTTCAATGGAAAAAGAGTAATTTCATTAACAACTAGTATAGAATACACTTTATACACCAAAAATTTCTGATCTCACATCAAATTTGTCAACAGATGAATGCAACAAATGTTACAAATTAAAAAAAAAAGTGTAAGCGGAAACTTTCCAGAATAGCACAAAGATCTAAAAAACTAATTTTTGCTGTCCATATTCTCCTGTATTAAGCTCAACAATCTTAAAACTGACTTGTCATGGCGAAAAAAAAAAAAAAAAGCCCTTTTGGCTAGTAAGAATTTACATGGTCAGAAAACAAAAAAGCTGAAGTTGGTAGATAGCTTCTCAACTAAACAATAATTACTTAATTACTAAACAATTAGTTAAACAATACAGAATTGAAGTGTTAACAGCTGCATCTCCTCAAACTAGAGGGTGAGTAGCTGCCTCCACATATTGAGAAGTTTATTAAGCTGTATTACATTGATGAAAATAGAAAAGAAACCCTTGTGCTAACATGCTCACATCTTGCAATACAACTTACCTACAAATGAGGAAGTCTTGAATTAAAAATAAACACTGCATGCCATGACATTTTTTAAGTCTGAAATTAAACAGATGAAAGTGTGGTTCTTTTACATGAAAAAAACCAATCCTTTTGTACAGTGCTTTTAGTTTTCAATATAATTTTAATTATACTTTTCAGCATATAAAAATAAAGCTAAACTACAAGCCGAAGAACTTCATGTATTAGGAAACAAATTAAATTTCAGATTCTCTTCAGGCACTAACACTTAATGATATCTACACATATTCAATTCTCCACACTCCATTCTCTGGTGAGAAAACCACATCCCTCCGACCTAAGTGTCTATTGATTGACATAATTTTAGCCATTTACAGATTTCAGCATTTATGCCACTAAGTCAAATCGTCACTTTCAAAATTATGCTGACATCAAAGGTAGTATCTGATTGCTATAAAATGGAAAGTACCACGTGGCATATGCCTCAGATAATGATTCAGAATTCACATCTTTAAGATTGCTTTACCACCATAATGCTATTATCGCACTAACATTTACAAAATTCAAGATTATTATGTCTGTATTTTTTCTCTAACTATACATGGGCTCTGATCTTGTTTCATTACAAGTGATGCAGAGATGCTTCAGACCTAGAAGTAGACAATACAAGAAGTAGACCATTACAACATTACTGTTTCCAAGGGTCATACTCATCTATGAAAAATAACCAAATAAGGACTAGCAACACAATATGCATACAATAATATATAACATACAGAGCAGGCTTTCCTTATTATCTCTTAGTCAAAACAAACAAACAAACAAAAACAAACAAACAAAAACACAAACAAAACTCCCCACATTTCTCTAATCTAGTAACTATTACAAGACACCAGTACCAGCTAAGGGCAAAAGAGAGAAGCTACTATGTAATAGATCTGAAGAGTTTCAAGGTAATTTCAGGTATCGACTTAGATGTAACTGGGGCTGAGAATGCAGCAAGCAATGCAAAGCATGTTACAGATTACAAATTCAACTTCATTAAGTTTGTGGATGCCACAGCCCTGGCAGCATTCTAAGCCAGGTTGGACAGGGACCTGGTCTAGTGGAGTGTCCCTGCCCATGGCAGCAGCGGGTGGAACTAAATGATTTTTTAGGTCCCTTCCACCTCAAAACATTCTATGATTCTATGATAATACTGCACAGTATTATTAGTATGTGAGTGATATATCCTAAATGGGTGAAAGAAATTCTACTTTGCTGTCACTTGTCAGAAAGAAGTAAGCCTTTGAAATACCAGCAGCATAAATGCCACTGGAGTGGCCACAGCTCATTTCAAAAATCTAAGCTGCGCTTATGTTGCTATCAGTCTGTTAATATAAAGCTAGTTCAGACCTATCTATCTACCTAAAACTGCCATAAAAAAAATAGCAAGTAATTACTGAATAGGCAAAACGCACATATGACCCATTTCCCAAGTATTCTTCACATATTTCTAGTTTCTAACCAAGTGCTTTTATAACCCCTAATTCCAATTCTAACATAAGAAAACTAAGAATTCTTTACATACCCATATATATTATTGGTGCTTGCAAACAAAATTCCATGCCTCATACCTCTGTAAATCCATTGACTTTGATGAAATGATCTAAACCACAGTCACCTCTATTTTGAGCTTGACATCCTGTTTGATCCAACCAAGTCGTTCTCTTCTGCTACCTTCTTCTTTCAGAATGCAAAGAAAAATCCTGTCTACTGTCCAGAACCCTCTTGAGAAATGCCTATGGGCACTAATGGAAGCTTATGTTTATGTGCTTCATGTGATCTTAGCAAAATGGCAACATATAACCACTCTTCTGAGCAATGCACATTTTCAAGTAAGGGCTAATTCATATGAAACTACAAGTAAAACAATACAGCTACCATGAACCACACTGTTCTCAAAACTTCTACCCAAATTGATCCCATTCACAAAGTGCAAAACCAAATGATCTAACACAGCAGCTCAGTACATAAGCTTGTTAATGATGAAGGCAATGGACTTCCCATGGAAGATGGACACATTCAGTGGATGATGCACTCAATCCTGTACAAGCAGGCTAGAACTTCATTACTGTGCTATGCTACCAGTTTGTAAGTCAGCCACCCTTTGCAGAGATAAGCATATTATACAGCAATAGCTCTCCAGGAGTGGCTTTTTAGGAACACCTGTTAAGAAGGAACAGATCCTAACTATGTCACAGATCTGCACAGTATTTACAAAACAAACCAGAAAATGCAGTATTTGCAAGAAAATATTACTTTGGGAGGGGAGGAAATGTGTGTGTTTTGTGGCTGATTGCTTTGGTTGTTTTTTTTACCTTAACAAAAATCAACCAACAAAACGAACCGAAGTGAAACCCTAAAAACCCCAAGACACTTTTTGTAAGGGAACCATAATTAACATACAATAAAACAATATGTTGCATATAGCCTCACACATGTGATAAGATAGCCAGTTAAGGCTGCCATCCATAACTATTATCTTCCAAAGGCATGTTCCTCTAAATGTACACAATCCTTAACATATTTTATAACTGATACATCATAGAGCTATGCTATTTCAGGAGAACAAAACTCAAAAAACCAAACTAATACCAGCTAAAACATGATACATTGAAAGAATTTTAGTTCTTCCCAACAGAGAAATTTAGCTTTTCAAAGAAAACATGAATAATTTTTTCACTAATATCCATATTTTAAATGAAAGCAGCTCTACGAGTAAGACCAGATGGTCTAAAAATATTCCTTTAATAAGCATGTACCAGAAGAAACATCCCTCTAAAATACTTATTTTATTAGTGAAATGGTACCAAAGATAACAAGTATACAAACAATCTCTTTGCTCTATGCTACTTACACATCATAAATAACTGTTGTTGCAAGACACAATCTTTCACAGTCTTCCTGTAAGCATATAGATTTTTTTATTCTTTTAGCAGAATTAGCCGTTTACTAGCCAACAGCATGTGGCTTAAACATCACAAAAATGGTTGTTCTATACTTTACATGGTAAAGCATTTTCTGTTGTCTTAAATGTACACAGTGGCAAGATTAAATCTTACAGAAAATGAGGAGTGATTAAGCAGCTTCACAATCAAACTGAATTTCATTACGATAGGAGCTGGGCAAAGTTTTCATTTCCAGTAATGTGCTTCCCTTCCAATGAAAAAATTAACAACGCAGAGGAAAAGTAAAACAAGTAGAAAGCAAACAGCTAATACATTTAGTTTTTTATTTTAACTGAAAGAAATAACACTTCCCATGAGGTAAGGCAATAAAGTAATCTGATTGCATTAAGCTGTAGTAAAAATAATCTATACGATTTTAGGTATATCTTAAAGGTGTAACTTATCTGAAATCTAACATAACCAATTAAATTGCTTCAGAGAATAAAAGCTATGTTTTGCCATGACAAAAACATTTCTGTTGTTCTCTTCTTGCATGCTTTCTCCTCAAAAAATGAAAAAACAAACAAACAAACAATCTCTACTATGTAGGCCCTATGTAAATTAGAACTTTCTTCCTCAAATTATTTATCCCCTATTTCTTTGCATGCCATTCCTATTATATTGCCCAACAGATATCAGAGAAAATAACAGAGAGGTAACAATTAAGGCCATCCAAATGTATATTAAATGTCTTAAGGGCTTTCTTTGATGCAGGTGATCAGAGCACACTCTGTATTCAGCTACTACTTTGTACAGTGGTGGTCCCCAAATTACATCTTCTCTTATTTATAAATCTCTTCTGAGAATAAAAAATAAAAGCAAAATGGAGCTTCACTATTTTAACAAGTGAATCAAACAACCATTCTGGCAAGTCACTTGCATTTTTGTCTACAGTATGGTGGTGGCAAAGTAGCAAGAGATCATATAAGATTTAGCTGAAAATGTGTAACAGCACACATACATTTCTAGAAAATATCGCATTTTAAGAAGGCACTAAAGCTTCTGCTTGTGCTCCCATATTTTTTTAACAAAACCGAAAAAAATTATTTTATTAATGGCACCTGTACTATTTTCAGCTGAACAGACACACTGCAGTACATTGCAAAACAAAGCTGTAAGTTCTGGTATCATCATATAGATGTGCTCACTTCTCTAAGGACAAAGAAAACAACAAAACAAAACAACTCCAAAATAATTCTGTAAGCTAACCTAACATCTATAACATGGCAATGCTCCTTCCAGGAACAGAAAAAGCGCATGCATTATTCAAATACTTTAAAAGAAATATTAGTTTCAGGAATATAAGTCAGAAATTATTTTAAATAATAAACCCTAAGAATCTCAAGCAATGAGCAAATGAAAAACACACTCATCTGTGAGTACTTAACGTAAGAACAGTAAAACCGTGTTTATGCTTAAATCCCCTTTCGCTACAGTTGTCATTTACAAGGAAAGAAAGTGTGTATATTTATGCACCATTTTCAAGCACATCAAACAGCACACATTAAAGTTTTTGTGGATCTTTAAACCTACAGGGCAAAACAATACAAAAGTCATCAACAAGTAGTATAATAAACGACCTTCAATGCATATCTTCAGCTTTTTTGGGGAAGTACAGGTTTACATCTTTCAGTTTCTAGTTATTTGTAACAGCTTATAGCAAAACTTAACACAAATCATTTTACAAGTACAGCCATCATGGAAATGCATGGATTTTCAGAGATGAATAGTTCTGATGGCATCAGCCTTTTCATAGTATTAACTACTGGTCTGTGCTCTCTTGCTTTACAGCAAGAAGACAACAAAGCTATCACAAGAATTGTAGGAGCTACTAGTACTATCAACACGTTCAGGTTGATTGCTTTGACATTTTCTTCCTCATTTTGGGAAATAAAATGCTTTGGATTTCATTCCTTAGCTGAATTAGAAGTCCATTCTTTGCTTTAAACCTCTTCCATTTTAATTGAGAGGTTTTCTTCATTTGGTTGACAGTTCCCGTTCTGTTGTAGCTTGACTTCATCTGTCCTTTGTGTATCTCTATGGTCTACTTCCTTGTCAGTTTCTGAATTCTGATCTTCTTTGTTATCTTTGTCCTACCAAAGATAAAAATATTTGACAACAAAATAATATTCTTAGCATTATAGGCTGTGACTTCCAACCAACCCTCGGTAATTTTATTGTTTCAATTTTTACATGTATATCTTGTCTCTGCGAATTTTAAAATAGAGGCGTAAGCTTTGCCCATTGCCTTTTATAAAAATAAGCTTTCTTTTCAGTTGGCTGAAGTTTGGCAGTCATAACAATCTGTCACCCAAGAAATTATGCCATAAAGTGATCTATTAACTACAATAAAGTAATATTTTAAATTATAGAATAAGCAGCACCATGTAACATATGAGAAACAGCTCCAGAAATAAAGATTTCACCAACATTTTTAAAATAGAACAGGACTAAATTTTTTCTTATATTTTGTCATGTATATGATGCATTTTAAGAGAGTTCTTTGGTAAGATACTTACTCAAGCATTTGAACAGTCACCTAAATCAGCTGTTTTAGAACAGCTGGATAACACTGAGCACAACAAACTACTCTTTAAAGGTGTGCTGCAATTCAAATTCTAAGATTAAACAATCTGAAGATGTTTCTTTCCTTCTATTTTGCAGGGGAAAATCCTATACCAATCTTACACAGCTTTACTCCTATAGAATCCAATATATAGACCAGGACCAATTCAATGAGGTGGAGTTTGAACTGCATAGTGAGAGTTTATTTAGAAAGTAATTTTTTCAGTTTGACAGTCAAGTCATCCCTGAGCACTACTTGTCAGTCAACGATCTGCCTGCTCGTAAAAGTAGGGAGCCAGGCAAGTCCTAATATAGGGCATACAACACAAAATAGAAACAAGGTGTACCTGTAACCTAAGCACACAAACTCCTACAGGTCAACTGAAGCACAAATATGTAGACTTAAACTGGCCTACTAACCCCAACTAGCAAATACTAAACTCAAATGGCACTAATTTGGTAAGGAAAGGGAGAAAAAGAAGGAAGCAGTAAAAGAAAGAAAAAGCAGAGAGAGAATTTCAATAATGGCTTTACTTCATTCTGCTGATCACTTGGTCACATAAACTTACCTTTAAAGTAGTGGTACTTTTATCAGATTTCTCCTTTCCCTCTTTTTCTTTACTACTTTTTTTCTTGGAAGTGGAGCGTTCTCTTTCTCTTCTTTCATTATTTGTATCTCTCTCTCTTTTTTTATCTTTCTTGTTTCTGTTTCAGAAATTTTTTATTCAAATTAAGATTTGATCTACAACAAACTTCAAACCATTCGACCACAAACTAAATCCCCAGCATGGACTTTCAAAAAACTTCCCAAAATTTAACAAAAAAAAAACCCTTTGCAAAGACAATGTGTTGTTTTTGGTTTTTTTTGCTAGAGAGCTAAACAGTGGAATATGACCACTACACACTACATTTGCAAAGAAAAAACCAAATTTATCTGTCAGGTGAAGGGATTTAATTGTTTTGAAGAAATTTGCAATGATGATTGATTTGAAACCATGTCATTGAAAGAATATCAGAGCTCAAATTGGTTGAAGTTTTGAGTTAGTTTTAAATTAAAACTGAATCACACTGACCAACCAAAATCATCTGAAATCATTAGTGCAAAGGCAGTAAAACAGTGAAATTACTATGAATTCTTCTTTCTTTACTGATCATTAATTTCCGTGTTTGCATCAAACTGACCTTCTTGGAGAAGGAGATCGTGAAGACTTTCTTTTTGCTGTTTTTGATGTTTTAGGAGATTTGGACGGACTTCTGCTCTTCCTTTTACGCCTTTCTCTAAAGGACCAAGAAATTCAATATCATCAAAACTCAAAAATAATAAACTCAAAGGAGATGAAAAGAGAAAACTCTTACAATGATCTAACACAACCACTGAATTTGACAGTCTATATTACCAACCAAATATGAACCGTACAAACTAAAAATTTTGTATGCTTCAGTTCAGTGGGAAAGGCAAAGCTGAAGTAGGTAAAAAAAATATGTGCCTTCCAATTTTAATCCTTATATGCTTGATAACAATGAAAACACACTGAATTTGATAATACTGTATCAGTTAAGTTTCTTTAGTAAGGAAAATAACTCAATTGAATGAAGAGCCATATTAAGACAAAAGGTATAACTTTTGAGCAATATGAATTTCAAAAGACCACTGCAACTTCAGTTCAACCAGACTTAAATTTAATTCCTAAATATATGAGCTAGAATTAGTTGGTTTGGAAGAAAACAGTGCAAAATGAAGCCCAGGTTGTTGTCAAAGTCAGAATAAGTAAGACCTACTGTTTTTCTAGTGGTCCTTGCTTAGCAAAGAGAATATCATCATTCTGTAACACATGGAAGAGCCTGATGTGTTTTGCAAAACTGCTGTTTTGCATAGCTAAATGGACTTTCCTAAAGTTGCCATTATGGAGTACAATCTTGAATACAACAAAACATGAAATAACTGGTCATTTTGTACTGAGGTTCCTGTTTAAATTAATACAAAAACTGAGCCAGTTAACATAACTGCAGAACCCATCTGTAAAAACAAGATTTTTTCTTTCATATCAACTCTTTGTAAAGCAAGAAAAGCAGATTGGAACAACAACTGAGGAAAAAGAGGGAAGTCTAAAACTTACTTCTAGATACAGCACAAAAGCTACATTTATGGATAACAGCTATTTGTGAGTATTTAAATCTTCAATATTTAGAAAAGATAAGAAATCAACACTTACTAGATAAGTAGCAAAAGAACACAGTAAATTATAGCCAGTATCATTATACAGATTGATACTCTGACAATACCCTCTACTTTGACTGTCCTGATTTTGGCGAGAATAATTTTCTTTCTAGTAACCAGAACGGTGCTGTGTTTTGGGCTCAGTATGAGAATGATGTTGATAATACACTGATATTTTAGTTGTTACTTACCCTTAAATCAAGGACTTTTGTTTCCCATGCTCTGCCAGCAAGCAGGTATGCAAGACACTGGGAGGGAGCATGGCCAGGAGAGCTGATTCAACTGGCCAAAAGTCATCGAGGGATGAACGACTGTGCAGTGCATCACTTGTTTCTCTTGGGTTTTATTCCTCTCTGTCCTTTCCATTACAATTATTATGTTACTATGATTATTTTATTTTGTTTCAATTACTAATGTGTTCTTTCCTCAACTCTCAGAGCCTGGCAGAGCACGACAAGGTTGAACAAAAAAGGGACTGGTGAGAAAACAGAAGTCAAAAAAGAACTGTCGTGGTTGAACCCCAAATGACAACTAAATCCTGAGTGGTATTTGTGCATTCTCTGCCTTCTTTTGCCCGCCTGTCCACCTCCCCAACCCACCAGGAGAGGAGAATAAGTAGGGAAAAAAGGAAAACTCCAGCACCGTACCAGCTTCTAGTAAGAAATTAAACTCTCTTTCAGTCAAAACCAAGACGGTGACCTCCTGAAGCTGCACAAGACAAGATTTCTGAACTATTTACTTCAGCAAGCTTTTGATTTATCTTTGAAAAAAAAATATAAAATGGCCTCAAAATCGTTGAGTAAATAACATAGTCACTAATCAGCTGTTCACTAGTTAACATGTATTTTATTTTGAATATCCCCACGTGGATGATCACCTTCATTGAATTGAGGATACCGGAAATTGATTATTCTCTCTCAGTGCTGCCACTTCGGCTACAGTGAGTACATTTCCACTTAATTTTGCTTTCCAGCATACATACCTGCAAACCAAGTGCTTCAGCAATTGTCTTCAAACTAGAAACTCCTTACTCATTACATTTTATTTTCAGTTTCTGCTTTTCTTATCTCAAGTTGAAGAATTGTAACTGTGTCTCACTGCATTTGCTCCCACGTCTATTACATTTGTAAATAAAAAGATTTTTGTGCACCCATTTCACTACATCTTACACAATCCTAACACAGCAAAATTTCGGAAAAAACAAGTTTTGAATATTTTGATAGTAAACCTGTCTCCTAGTTATACACAGAAATAACATTCTGCATGTCATCTGGTGCTACTGGCTCTGCTAGCCTGTAAGACAGCTCCTTTTCCAACTTAACTTCTCTTCCCCTGGTCTGTCTCTTCTTTCAGCTACGAATCACAAATAACCATCTTATTTCCAGTACTTGCAAGCATGTATGTCAGCAAAGGAAGGTCAGCTGCCATCTAATTCTTAGAAAGTCCTGTATGTCCTACTCCTTCACCTCTTCTCCAAAAAGATGACTATTTGCCCAGTACTTCACATTTACATTCGTATTTTACATGATCAGCAGTGAACTGCTATACTGAAATACAGGCAGCTGAAATGTCTATCTGTTGAATAATCTTCACTGGAAAGGTCTGCAACTATTTCAACTATGCAATGTCCAGCACCCAAGAAAGACCCCTCATGTAACCCAACCTACTCATAATTACTTTTCAGAGAACAATGACATTACTGGGGTTGGAAGAAATGCCCAAAGATCACTTAGTCCAACCTATCCCCTCCCCACCTTACAAGAGGGTCCATCAGAGTAGGTTATTCAAGGTCATATCCAGTCAGATTTTTGGAGGAGACAATCTCTTGAGGTGACTGATTCCAGTTTGCGAAGTAAAACCACAATTTCAACACTAGGAAAGAAACCCAAACCTTTATTTCCCGTAGGTCAATATGTACCTGTCACCTCTTAATTGTCACAGGCCCCCACTGGCTCTCTCTTCTCCATGCTCTTATCATATATTCATACATATTGGTAAGATGCTCCTCAGCCTTCTCTCTTCCAAGCTAAACAATCCCAGATTCCTCAGTAGTCCCTTGTATGAAGGAAGCTCCAAGCCCTTTATCAGCCTTATGGCCCTTTACTGGAGCCATTCCAGTACATCTGCATGTCTCTTGTATTGGAAAGCCCAGAACAGGCTTCTAAATCTGTCATCACCAGAAGAGGGAAAGAATTACCTTTCTTGACGTACTCACAAACATTGCTGGCCTTCTGGGCTGCAAGAACCTGCCAGCCAGCCTTCCAGCCAGTGAATCGCCATTCTATACTGGTGCAATGGCATTATCCCTACTCGAGTGTAAGACTTATCCTTTCTCTTTGTTCAATTCCACGAGATGACTATCAGTCAATTTCTCCAATCTGCTGAGGTTTCTCTAAATGGTAGATCAGCCTCCCCCCACAGCTGGTTCTCTGTTGTTTGCAAAGGTAGAGAGGATGCACTCTGTCCCACTGTCTAAGGCCCTGATAACGACATTCACCAGTAGTAGCCTCTACACACAAAAACACTGTAAATCCATACTAAAAACTGTATTTTCTCATCTTCCAGCTTCAAAAGAACACTGGCCTTGTCTAACAATATCTGTATTACCATACTGAAGTACAGTTTTGTACTTTGACTGCACTAGAAGAAGTGCACTAATTTTTACACGAATTCTTTGCTCAAGTACATGATACTGGAACCTTCCCATAGTGCTTTCTTAACTAGTAAGATTCCTAAGGGGGAGCAAAATTATTGCAAACTAGAGTATAAGCTTTTGATAGCACCCAGCTAACTAACCAAACTTGCAATTTGGCACTATGAATATGGTTTTCCACCAAGGTTCCTATATAAGCTACATATTGTGAAGCCCTTACATATTTTTCTGGACTTATCCAATTCAACACTCTGAGGCCTATGGGCTGAAAAAAATGGTTTCAAAGCTGACAGAAGTATATCTGTGTGGACCTTCCATTCATTTAAATAGGATGCTGCATATGCTAAAGGAAGAAACAGTATTTTGCCCATAAACCTCGTAACACAATGTTCAGAAACCATTACCCTTTTTTGCCTTCTATGAACTCTGAACCGATGAATTTTGAGGACTACAGGAATTCTGCTTTTGTCTAGTGAAATTATTACAATAGGTAGAAGTTGTCACATGAATTCAGCACTTCATTATCTCAAGGTTAGGGATATAATTTGGTATGTAAATCTGATACAATACTACTGAACTCCCTAATTCCTGATCTAACAGAAAGGACCTTATCCACCAATGCTTCTAAACTTAACTTAGCTGCAATGGTTTTAGAATACGCCTGAGTTCGCTTACACATTGATTATAATCTCACAGCATCTCCCCTCAGAGCCAGAACCAATAGGTACATTAACTTTACTGTTTTCCTGCTTACCGTCAGCAGCGTTAAGAAATGTTACTTTCAACTTACACCTGGCCATCTAGTCAGATAAACAACATATGTGTCTCTTCCAACTGAGATACATTCACCTTGTGAAAAGCTAGCCAGCCAAGTGACAAGCTTCTTCCTGCACTTCAGTAGCCACCCAGCCAAAGAGAGGCAAGTATTAGCAAACCACTGTGTGCAAGATCTACAGACCAAAATGCTGCAGTATGTAAGTAATGAAAGAACTATGTAACAGTGACATAAACTTTCATCAGGGCAAAGCTGATGTGTGTGATGTTGGTCAGAACTTTTGGCTGCCTGTAACATACAGAAATGGCACAAGAATCATCTCATTACTGTCCTCAAGGTTTATATAATATGGTTGTGTGAAAGTCAAGCACCAGCAGCCCAACAAGAAACTCTGTTCTATCACGTGTCATACCGAACTTTATATACAGATGTTACTTTAAAGGAAAACCTATAAAACAGAAATAATACAAATTTATTTAGCAAGAGACATGGTGATATCAATACATAAAAATTAGGACGGTGCCTCACTGATCTGAAAAGTGAAAAAAAAATAAAAAAAAACAAGCATGAAAAATTCTAAACAAACCTGCTGGAGCTACGAGATCTTCTTGAAGAGCTATAGCTTCTTGGGGGTGTTCTGGATCTCTTATCTTTCTTCTTTTTATCATCTCTCTCCTTTTCTCGCTCCTTCTCCTTATCCCCATCTTTTTCCTTTTCTTTGTCTCTGTCCTTTTCTTTGTCCCCTCCTTTGTCCTTATCTCCCTCCCTGTCCTTAATCTTCTCTCTGTCCTTCTCTCCTTCTTTCTCAGGATCTTCTTTTTCTTTGTTCTGATCTACCTCTTCCTTGTCTTTTTCCTTATCTCTCTCTTTTTCCTTTTCCTTGTCTCTATCTTTATCCTTGTCCCTATCCCTGTCTTTGTCTCGGGCTCTCTCTCTATCTTTGCTTCGCTCTTTATCTCTCTCCTTGTCCTTCTCCCTATTTCTCTCTTTATCTCGCTCTCTTTCCCTGTCTTTGTCTCGATCCCTATCCTTCTCCTTGTCTCGGTCTCTGTCTTTCTCTTTTTCTTTGGCCTTTTCTTTTTCCTTGATCTTTTCTTTGTCTCTTTTCTTGTCCCTGTGAAAAGCCAAACACAAACCCATTAATTCATCTTTGAACTTTCCAATTAAAATTACAACTAACTTTTTAGTAAACATCAAGATAAAGTGTGCATCTCTGTAGAAAAATAGTAATTCTTCAATATTTTAATTTTTCACCCCTGTTTAAAATGAGAGAAAGCTATATATAGCTAGGAAATACACAGCTATATACAGCTAGCCAAAATTTGGAAACCAAACTGGAGAAGGGAAGGCCAAAATCAAATTAAAACACTATCTTCCAAGTGATGTTCCTATGTATGGAGAGAATATTTCTCTTGACCTCACAGTTATGTAATTATATATATATAAATTTTCTATATTTTGTCAAGAGACAAACTTTACAATCTGTAAATCCACTCTTTAATAAAAATGTATCCACATAAAATGGTGTTCAGATTAATCACTGCCAATAATGACAGCTGACTAACAGAAGTCTTTATATTCTACAGTTTTCTCTCACACAGATATCCTTGAACTGCTTGGAAGTCCAACAACACTTAATACACAGAAATAAAAAGAAAACATGGACAAAATGTCACTGTATTCCCTTAAAAGGCAAATATAAGATCAAAACTCAATCAAGACAATTCAACCATTCGCAATGTCATTAGGAATTTGAAAATTACTGAAAAATGCTGATACAATAAAAACAGCAGAAAGGCAAACAGCTTCTTTGGGACAGGAAGTATGATACATGTTCATAAAAAGAACAGTAAGGAAAATTCCATCTGATGTTCAAGTCATCAAGTCAAACAAAAACTATTTAGCTAACATCTTTAGTAGGAAGATTACATTTTAGTATAGGACTACTTGAAAATGCAAGACTCTGTCTTTCCTTTCTACCACAGAGACACATAATGAAAGAACAATTGTTCAGAGAGAGAAAGAGGTAGAGGAGAAATTGATTAGGAGGCCTTATTGTGTCAAGAAGAATCAGACTGACAGAAGTTACCTGGTATCGGTATCTATTCTAGATTTTTACAGATTCTAAAAGAGACTCCTTCACACATGAAAGGTCCTAAGCACTCAAACTTTCCTCAAACTGAAGAAGTGTTTGTCTGTATCTTCATCTCAACTGCAAATAAACAGACTGTTGCATGATCTATGACCTGACAACTTTGATTCCCATCAGGTTCTGTCTAGTACTTTGTTAGGAGCCTCAGAGATGGAATGTAACATCATAAAGATGAAACAATGCACAGCCCCCAAAACACCAGCCTTACAGCCTCCCAAGAAATATCTTCTAGTTAAGTTATCACAGAGATTTCATGGACTTTCCCCTTCCAATGAGCAGATGTCTCTAGAAGCTCCAGAAAACAGAAACAGAATCAAAAGAATCCACCAATAAAGCCCAGCTAGCTATGCAGCCTAGTTTTACTTCTACATAGGTCCACAGATCTGCAGCTCTTTCCCACAAAACCTGTCTCACAAAACAAGAGGCAGCTGCACAACCTAAGTACAAATCTCCCTTTAAATAAATCAGAGGAATTACAGAAATGAAACTAAGAACATACCAAGACTTCTATTCATAAAGCTATTTTCACAGGCACTTTTGGTTTGAGATTATTCACTACTTCCTCCCTCAAAAAATTACGTTTTGATCTTGTTAAAATTTTACAGTTTAGTGATCAGATGATCAGACATAAAAACTAATCAACTAGATAAAATACACACATATTACATCCTGAAATACATATATGCCATACAACCGACACATGCATTTATTCCTGCTGTTTGACATATGAGAAAGTTGAAGATGAGAATAAAAGGTCATGCACATGAACTTTATACATATTCTCACAATACAGGATCAAGGTCAGTCTGAATTCAACCTTTGCAATAGATACACATCAAACTAGCATTATCCATTCTTTTGTGGGTTCACAAGGTACAAAGGATACCCCTTAACTATCAGTTGTAGTCTGACAAAATTACTCTTTTCAGTCAGTTTGGATGTTAGTACAAATGTAGATGAAACTATCAAAGTTCAGGTGCCTCAGCGTGATCATTTAACCCCTGGAGGCACCATACAGGCTACAGGAAAAATAATTAACTCTATCCTAGCCAAGACCACTATACTCAGTACTAAAATTTACTTTTTCCTTTTGTCCCACAGATGAGACTCCACCCTTTATGACTGCCTAAAAGGTTTTATAATTTTTTTTCAAGAACTGTGTCTTGTGAGCTAACAGTACAATTTTGTGGAACAGAACTCACCGAGAACGAGAGCGACTTCTGGATTTCCGTCTTTCTGTAGATCTAGATCGCTTTTTCAGGGGACTTCTGGATCTGCGTCTGTCCTTGTGTCTTGAGAGAGATCTGTTGCCAGACCTACTTCTAAATTAAGAATGCCAGAAGAAGAATATTTTAATATTGAAACTTCATACAAATGAAGCCAGCCAACAAAATGACAGTATACATGTGTTGCGTCACCACATAGTATTGTATCACACCTTAAGGAATGATACCTTAATAACATACTGTTTGCAAGCATTTTTACAAATATGGATACTTCATGCACATCACCAGATGTAAATGCTCTACTTTGAAACTATTTAAGTTATACCAGTGTTTCATAATAACCTCCATGAATCTGGAAAATATAAGTTAATATAATTTACAGCAATTGTCCTTACGAAATGACACTGGATAAAATCTGATTGACACTTTCTAGCAGACTGTAATCAGTTACATTTTATTTCCTTTCCAGACCCAGTCACTTACTGAAGTCTTAGTCATCAAACAAAGATGACTTTGGCTGCAACAATCTCTTTTTGCACTGTTCTCCATCCTTACAATTTAAATTCCTAAAAAACCCTGATGATCTGTGGTGCAGCTTTTAGTCAAGTTACCTTTCCAGATAAAAGAATCTATTAGCATGGATTTTAGTTGCAATTAAAGTGCAGATACTCTATTTTAAAAAAATGGCTTATGCAGATTTGATGAATACAGCATTTTAACTCTCTTTCCAAAATACTCCCTATTTTTGGAAGACCCTTTTCCTCAGGGAAGCAAAAATAAAAAGATGAATTTGCACATTAAGTTTCAAAAAACCCACATCATTAGATACTTTGCTTCACAAGGTACTATGAAGTTTAACTTACCACAGACAGAAAGCTCACGTATATTACTCAATAAAACCTGAAGAACTGTGAAATACAAAAATTAATTGCTGCACCTACCTTCCACAGCTCAAGACACACAGTGTAATGGTGCCTTAGGATTTCAGCTTTTATGTTTCCCATACATCCTGTAATCCTGCAATTCTTTAGTGTATAACGCCATATACAGTGTTAGCTACTACTTTCCCATTCTGGCCAGACAAAAAAATTCCTCTCTAGGCCTGGGAATCAAGGACACCTTACTTTGTCAGGCCCTGAGAAATGTACACAAAAGTAAGTTTGGGGGAGAGCAAACTTGGGGTAAATTACCTGAAGCTGTAATTGAAAGATTAAACCCCAATATGCAAATGAACCAAATTTTTAAGTGCGAAAACCATTTTAGGTGCAGCCCCTGGCAGGGGGACTTTGTCTGCCCTAAATGTACCTGAAGGCCCATCAATAAATGTAACTGCTATTTATTCTCTTAATTTTGTCTGGTCTCTGTTTTTAGGTAGTCCCAAATGGCATCACTAATATATACCAAGAAAAGAGTAAGCCATTTTTTACCTATAGCTTTGTTCTCCATATCAGCAGGGAAATAAAATTCAATTGCAAGGCCAATTAATTACAACTGAACCAAAGCACAACCTTCAATAAATTTTATGTCACAGAGATGAAAATTATGTTATATAAAAACAGAAAAACAGGGAAGCAATAAGGATAGTTAATTTTTATGGATGAAGCTGCCTCAACAGGTCATACTAGCTTTTTTACATGTTCTCAAAACTGTCAGTAGCAATATTAAACAATTTAACAAAACAAAATAAAATATAGTAACTAACATTTGTTTAAAGAACACGTTTTCCACAGTTAAAAAAAGAAAAACTTATGTTCTAAAATTCCACTTGGTTTGTGCCAAGACAAGATAGGACTGAAATTACTGCATTGTTACACAAAAACCAGTTTGTTTTTCCATTATGCCTTGAATTGGGGACACAGCAGAGAAGCAAGCAATAAAGAAGTGACCAAATGGTCCTTCTCGCATTAAAAAGGTATCTAACATTTTGAAGACATTAGAAAAGACGTGCTGTGGTATCCTGTTATTGCAAAATTGAAGCCTGCATTTGTACTATATTTATTTGATAGAATAATTGATGATAACTCCTTCTCACCAGATTTTCTGTATTAACAAGCATCCTAGTACCCTTGTTTAAAGACATGAATGAAAGGATGTATCAGAGCTGTTGCTGTAATATGGATGACACTCACTTTTTAAAAGTGTAAGCAATCAAATAACATTCCAAATGTTGGGGTTTTCTTTTTATCCTCAACATGATCAAGTATTTTTAGATTGATTTACCTAGGTTCTCAGAAGGTATTCCTGACATTGAAAGAATCTGGACGATTTTGGGAAGCCTTTATAATTCTCACAGAACAAGGCTGTTTCATTCTCAGAAAAAAAACTTAACAGTTATACTTCGAGAATGATCTAGTAATTTACTCTTTCAGAACTGAACAAAGTAAGCAAAGCAAACAAAACCTGAAATATGAGAAACTGTCCATGAAGCCTTTTCCCTATGTTTTTTAAAAACATAGCTTCACATTTTCAGGACAGTAAATAAAAACACTGCATTTATTAACACAATGTTTAGAAGTTGTGGCCAATAGGAATTCTATACCAAAAACCAGCCAGCCTATCTGCTCAGGATAAATTAAATAAATTCTACGTTCCATCCACAAAATGCAGGTTTCTCTTTAAAATACAGGTCACAAAACATTATTTGGCTACATGGTCTAATGTACAAAAATACAAAATGTACAAAAAACCCAGAGAACTTATTATTTTACATGGCACAGGAAGTGCCTTCTAGTGTCTTAACTAAAAGTAATCCTAAAAGCATTTAGGATTTAGAAGAAAAGAGTATCTTTTCAGAAACAAAGTTCCTGGCTATGCTGATCTGCTGAGTGCAAGTTAGTAATCTCTACAGGAAGACTTTTCTGTAACTAAAAAATATCAGTAACCAGCACCGTGCAAAAAAACTCAGTATGATCTTAGTCTGAAACAAAAAGCATACCTACCTGTGTTTTGAGTGTGATCTTTTCCTCCTAGATCGGGATTTTGAGCTAGACCTGGATTCTGAACGAGAATGGGAACGAGATCGACCGCCTTTTCTTTCACTGCTCTTTCCAGACTCTGAGAGGAAAAAACCACTTTGCAGTGTAAGCTCAGAACATTTAAAGATCCCAGTTAACAATCTGGCACAAGTGGAATATACCACATATATTGCAAGGGCCTACTCTCTGCACATCTTCCTTCTTTGCAAATATCCTTCAGAAACATCCAAGAAAGTCATTGCATATACTCGTTGAGTGCAGCCATCCTGCAGCAGTACACATAAACCAGATAATTATAAACAGCTAGCTCTACTACAAATGGGATTTATGTTGCTGCCACAATGCACAATATCATAACACGTCCTCCTTTTGGCCTATTATTTAATAAAATCACCTTATTTTTTTAATAACTTGGGAAGAATAGAGTAAATTCAGAGGGCATAATTTTGAAAACAAGCAAAAAATATAAGTATTACTGACTGTATTTTTAGATATTTCAAACACTGTACAAATACTCAAGTTTTATTCCTCATTGTTTTGTAGGAGGAAAGGATTAACAGAACAGGCTAGAAAGTCTGACCAAAGGCCAAAAAGTCAACAGAAAACTTTATAGTGAGCTCACCATGGTTCAGAGTCTAATTTGTATTCTGTTCCTTAACAGTGATAAAGTGATAGTTATTTTACTACTAACCAAAAAATACAACAGAAAATAATCCCCCTGCCAAAACCCTCAAGAGTCCGCACTAACCAACACAAGATAACACTGGGTCACTTAGTAAGAAGAATGGCAAAAGGTTGCTGATGAAATGAAGTAGGAAGTTTACTAAGCTGTGATTTCTTTTTTTATGCTGTGGCTTTGCAATCAAGTTTAAGCCAGCATAAATCACCACTGGAATGTCTGCCTAACTTCTCAACACAATCCCACCTTCCTCCTTGAGTTGGCATCTCAGTGTTAACAGGGAACAGGGAAACAATCTGATGAAAAGCTCTACAATGTTAATATTTATCCCAGACTCATTCTCTGATCCCATTTACTTTGAGGATGCATACAGCCTTGAGTTAGCATGAAAATGAAACCAAATTAACCTGCTGCAGTTAAGGAAAGCATAATATTACTGCTTTCAGAACCAAGCTAGCTCACTCTGATTGTAACACTATGGCATTAAAGGGTGCTAAAGGACAACAAAAAAATATAAAGCATTTTCATTTAAATGTTTTCAAGTCCTCTTAACTTAAAAAGTGCAATCATTAAGTATTGATTTAGTATTAAATTTGCATGTTTGAGAACGTTCAGTGAACATGTATCTTAAAACAAGACATGATGAAATAAAATACTTAATTCCACTGCTTAGATTAATGAACAGAATTTTGATTATTTTGGTTTTTTTCCCCCCACATGTACGAGATTCCTCTGGATACCCTCCTCTTGTGTCTGAAAATGCTCTTAGAAATGTGTACCAAAGTAAACACAGAATGCACCTGTTCAGTAATGAACACAATATACCTACCTGGCTCAATAGCAGCAGATATAAAAGACTGGGCTTCCCTTACTCTCTTCATCACTTCTTCTAGCTCCTTGGCAGCAGCTTGTGGTGTCATTTCAGGAGGCTTCACTATTGCATTATTGGAGTGATTTATCCTAGATTAAACAAAAATAAAAAACATTCATTCTTAAGCATTTGAACAGGGCAAATGAAAAACAACTAAGAAAGGAAACCATCTCAACTTCATGTACAATTAAAAACTTAAAAAGTTTAGCAAAGCTATAGATTTGTAACACTCATCTGTTCCAAGTATACAAAGTGTATTTTATTACTGTGAAATCTTACCACTTTTAAAGAAGGGCAGCACAGCATTATTGGGTTACAGTATTTTCAGTAAAAGTCTAGGAAGTTACTTTTCTATTTCAGATCAAATCTCCACATTAACTACATATATCATACTGCAAACTTACTTAATACTATGGACTTCAAAGATTATTTCACTATTGTAGCTTACACTACCTCAAGATTAATATAAATGTATTTTACTCTATGCTATATGTATTCTATTGACAGAAATTTATGCCAAAATGTGAAACTGGAGTTGATAAAAAGTCCTCATTTGTTAACAACAGGCCCCCCATATTGAAAAAAAATGTCACAGCATTTTGCTACACATAAAGTCATAAATGTGTGTACAGATATACAAAGAAATCTCTCATTCAACAGTCACATGGATAATTAATTTCTTACTTCAGTGGCCGGTCTCCAAACATAACTCCATTAAAGGCAAGAGCTCGAGGTACAGAATTTTGGTCTGCAAATTCCACAAAAGCAAATCGTGTTGGTTGTGTCTCATCCCCTGCCATTCGCACAAATTTGACTTCTCCAACTTGCTTAAAGAACTCAAGCAGCTGATCTGCTGTTGTAGTCTAGAAAGAGTTGAAGAGCTCAGCTAAAGTAAATTATGCAATGAAAACCACGTATCTAATATATTGGGTAGTTTAAGAGCTACAGATTTTTGGAATTATACCATATTTACCAATGTGACATAAATTTGGGAAAGCTACATTTCAAAACTTAAACATGTATTTTTTTCTTCCATTAGTCTAAAGAATATTCTACAATTTTAAATAGTGCAGCCACAAGCCCTTAGTTCCTCACTTAGGTAAAAAAAGGAGAAGAAATTTACATAGGATTTTGCACTTTTCAGGCAACTAATCTGAACTAAATGCCCGTTTCCAAGCTACGAATTGTGACTATTGATCAATTAAAACAAAAAAATCCCAACAATATTAAAGAATTTAGATTGATGTGGTTTTCTACCAGCTTCCAGTTTGTTTTATTTGATCAAAATCACTAGTACTTTTAGACTCAGCAGAAAACCCCAAAATGTAAACTTACATTGCTATCAGTCAAAAGAAAGTATTTTTCAATTAATCTGATCACCCCTCGAAAAACCAAGCTGCTGACTGAAAGATATTTTAAGCTAATTTTGCAACTTCCAGTACGACATATTTTACTGTACCTAGGCAACTGCACTGTGCTGTGGGGGACAGCTACCATGATCTCATGACTTTTGAGGACAGCTTATCTAATACAGCTGAACTGTACATTTAATCAACACACACAATTAGAAGTAGGTTTCTTTAATTGACCTACAGTGGATTCTCTGGTATTCTGACAAAGCTGGTCTAATCTGACTGGCACACGAACCTTCAAAATTCAAAACATCATGAATAAGCAAAAACATTTAGGGGGTTTAATTTAAATTCATGTTGCCATTAACTAACGGAAACTCTTTTAACATGTAAGATTAGAATTCATAGGTAACATTTTCACACCTGCTATTATTTCCACAACACTGAAACAAAAAAAAAAAAGCTACCTGGGAATTCAGGTTTCCCACATAGACAGTTCTCCTGATTTCATCAATTTTGGATGGATCCACATTTCCCATAATTGGTGGTTGTGGTATTTCTCCCAGTGCCGTAATGTTAGGATCCAATGCTGCTGCTGGTATAGCCCCCAAAGTACCAAGTGAAACACCGAGCTGGAAAACACAAGCACAGGATACACTTTGCAGCCAAGCACTAGTGAAAGATATTCCACTTCTTAACACTTGTTTGCCTGGATGCATTTCTGCAAAAACAGATCAAATGAATATAAGCAATACTTTAAGGTCACAGCACAGCAGATTTTTTTAGAGAAGAAAAATTTACCCAGAAATAAGCTTCCATACTGAAGGTATTCTGTGGGTTAGCAGCTAATATCAAAGAGATCTGGACAGGGATATATATTAATCACAAAATATACAGGCTCTGATGCATAGAGTCAATTAAATTGAGTACGATTCTTTCACACACAGCTAGTATTCTTATTTTTATGAAACAAGTATTTGGACTAGACAAGGAATGGCTGAGATCTTGCCCAGCAAGGAAAGAAGGGAATTTCCAGTACTCAAGGTCATCAAAGGGACACATAAAGCGTCTTCTGCACAAACGAATCACCCAAGATTAATTACAGTTGAAATGCAAAGAATATTCTAAGTTCTTCCACTCGTACCTAGAGAATGAGAAAAATACAGCTGTCATGTTTGGAACTGGAAAAGTGTCCTGCAAAATGTTATAAGAAGTCACTTAAAAGTCACTATGAAATTGATCCATTGAGTTTGAATTTGGTTTGAATTTTCTCGACCCAAAAAGCAACTGCCTTTTCAAGTAACGAATTATCTAAGAAGTGTGGGGAATTCTGAACCAGCCATTGGTACCTTTTTATGTAACAAAGGAAAAAAACTACTCTATTTTAGCCTTAAATTTTCCTTCAATAAACCACAGCAACTTGCTGATGTTAAGAAAGGCTTACGGGGTAAACGGGAATGGAGGAAAAAGAACAGAACCAAGCTCCTCTATTTTTCATGATGAAAACATTGTTAGACAGTCTAACAGTCAAAAATCCTGCCACAGAGAGAGCAAGTCTCTACTGCAGCTTTTAACATTCTGAAGAACTGGTGTCAATGTAACTTAGGTTTTAATAAATTTTTTGTCAGTGGATAACTACCACTAGACCAAAATAATGGCCCTACAGGGTAGGAGGGCAATTAAAGAACAAGAACCAAAACCGGTATTTACCCACTATTTTGGAAAATAGTAATCTGAAAGAAAAGCCCTGCAAAGGAAGCATATGGACATATTCTGATCAATCCTCAGGAGAGTCATGACAGCTAAAGCCCCACTGCAACATCTGTGGACCAGATAGTTCTTGCTCCCTGTACACAGAAAAGGCTCGAGAGAACAGAGGAAACAGGAAATTATACAGACAATGAACTTTACTTACTGTAGTCAAGGGGGTTGGCGTAGGTATAGGAAGTAACCCTGCACCAGGCATCAGACTTGTCATAGTAGGAGCAGGCGCCAATAGAGAGAGGGCTTTGGCTTCATCTGGGATTTTACCTGAAGAAGCAAATGAAAGCATTACACAGAGTTGGAACACTAGTCAGATGTTACTCTATGATTTTATAATTACCCTTGCATTTAAAAATGTAATAAATAACAACGAATCTATCTACCAGATCCTTACAAAGAAACAAATAACTTAAGTTTTTCCTTTTACCCTGCTCTATTAGGAAAAACAAAAGTGAGCAAAACTTCAAAGACTAGCAATCTCATTAATGGATTATTATTTTAAAAACTGAATAATGTATATAATTATTTAACACTTTGAGCTATGGGTCACCTGTACTGGAAACTTAACGTTCATGAACCAAACGATATCAAGCATGGACGCTTTCCCAGGGCGGTGTTTTCGCGGTGATCGAAAGTTGTTTTACACATGACAACCGTTCGTGTTGGCTGCATCACTAATAGCACACAGAACATCAGATACAGAAAAGAAGAACATTTTTTAAAGTTTAATCCCCAGAAATGGCAAATAACCAAATCAGTAAAAGAAAGAAAACCAAAAAAAGGGAAAAAAAAAAAGAAAAAAAGAAAAATAAAAAAGAAAAAACCGATGTGCTGACTGAAATTTGTGCTTTTCTTTATTCCTCTGGTGCTACCTATTTAAAATGTAAAAATAAATAAAACATAAAATAATAAACTACTGAACTACTGTGACTGCACAGAATACATACTACAAGTGAAGTTGAAGGTGGAGGAAAGAAGAGTAGAAAAAACTTAAGATTTGTACTCTCTCACAGTCTAGTCACTTCAGTTTATCTGAAACTGTTAACTCCAAATTTACTGAGATTAGAGAAAATCATAACTAATCAGGCTAAGCAAGCTCTGTTTTCCCAACACAGGTATTTCCTACTATTTTAACCTGATCAGTCCTCATATCATGCTAAAAGTTTAAATAACTACTAATCTGAATTAAACGTAGGTTTCATTGAATGTTAGCCATGATTAGACTATTAAATCAACCCCCCAAAAATCTCCAAAAATCAAAAGATTAATAGTTAAACAATTAATTATTACAATTAAATGTACATTTTAAATTTGAAACGCAAAGGGATTAAAACTGGCACAAGAATTAAACACTAAACTAAAAAACTAGTGAAAAAAGATTACTGGCCTAATTGTATATATTCTAACCAACTGAGTCCTTTATTATTATCCTATGGATCTTAATAAAGTAAATGCTCTTATTTAAACATTGTTTTAATAGTCGAGTAATATATAAAAAGCTGTGCCAGTGGTTTCCTGCCTTGATTCAAACTGCGCATTTTAACTACAAAACATCTAAATCCAGAATCTGAAGATTAATATATATTCTTATTGAAAAGGAAAATTTGAGGTAGGTTTCAAAACACCATGCAGGTTTAGCCATACGAGTTCCAACTGACACCACAGAAAACACAGTACTTTAAAAAATGAGAAGAAACAAGTGCTGCAAACCTGCTCTACAGATCTGCAGGAAAGTCGGGGTTACATTGGGATATGACTGAATGACAAAACAAATCTAAATGAAACTTAATTTACATGTAGCATGGGTGGAACAGAACAGATAAAGTAACAGTACCCTTTTTTTTCATGCTTCCTATTTACATTTATTTTATTTATGTTAAAATTTGACCTTGCTCCTTAACATGTAAGAAACCACTTGATTTTGCTATCTAAGGGAGAAAAACAGGAAAATTATTAGCACTTAAGAGTTAACTGTGCAGTAATGACTTCAGCTTTTTAAAAAACATGCACAAATCTAAGCCACCACCACAATGTTCAGCACTCTTAACAGATCTCGTTTTGAAGTCAGGCATGCAATGAGAGGTGGACCTGATTTGCCTGACTGCTCAAAAGTATCAGGTACTTTGCCTAATATGCAGGCCTACTAACAGGCTTTTGAATATACAGTTCCAGCAGATGTGCATGCAAATTAGGCATAGAATTATGTACCAGTTCTTCTGAAAGTCTATTAAAGTCTTTTCAAATGACTAATGAACCAGAACTTATCCAGAACAGTAAGCATCTTGCAATCAAACAGCTACTCATGCAGGATTCTATGGATCAAGAGACAAAGCACAATTAAATCCAAAGGCAGAAATGGCTCTGGTAGCGGTGTGCCTGCATGTTAACTGAGATCCTTGGTCACTATTGTACATAAGTATATGCCTAATTTAAGTATGCACTCACAAACAGCCAATTCAATACACACTTAACCAGGTAAACTTACAAAATGCTTAGGCGTTTAGCCCTTTCAAGCAGGAGCGCAGTTAGGACATAAAACTAAGACAGACAGTGACTCAAGTTCATAAAGTGACTTCAGTAGAAGCCTAAACTTTAAGTATACGGATCATAGCACTGAAATAACTGAAACGTTGCTGGAAGTGCTGAAACGTTGTTCAAGAAATCCACTGAACATTTCAGGTAAGTTCACCACTATAGCAATGCACAGAATGAACAGCATGCATATGTAAATTGTAAAGTTTGCAGCATTATTTCCAGAATACTTCAATCTTTCAACAATGTAAAGTTCTATTTTAAATACAAAATCAAACTGGTCAGTTCCATACCATAATGAAAGACTTGTTTATTTTGTTTTCAAAAATGAGAAAGGGTCATTTCTACAGACAGAACCCAGAAAATTTGCCTGCATATTAAGACCCTGTCTCTTCAGAATAACTTTTACAGTTTTTAAGACGAGGTCAAGTTATAAAAAATTCTACAGAACACTGTTGTGGAGAAAAATAATTAAATCTGCAGTATCTTGAGTATCTACCTTCATATTCTTTAAAAAGTTTTGAAAAAAACTAATATGTGAGTCCAAATAACCTTTTAAGTTAAAAGCTTTAAATTTTGCAGTTTTACCTCGGCAAATGTATTTGTAAAGGAAATACAAGCCCACTAAATACATCAAAAACATGCGGGTTATGATGCAACGACAGTTTAAGAATAATACTTTCATTTTTAGAACATATAAAATCTGAGTAAGAATGAAGGGAAGATATTTATTTTCTGATGAGGGAAGCAGTCAAAATAAATACGCCATATCTATACCACATCCTTACACAGATTTCTTAGAATCTCTTCTGCTTACTAAACTATAGGTTCTATAATCATTTATATATTGATTCTTCCCTTTGCAAAAGGATCTGGAAGCAAACGTACATAGTCCCGGTGTTGCCTAAAGGCATAGATGTGACTGCTACTTTTTTGTACCATTAAAGAGCCCTAGATAACCTAGTCCATACTAGATCCCATTTTCCTAAAGGCTAAACAGAATCATCTGCATCAAAGTACTAATCACAGTATTTTTGTTCCTCAAGAGCTCAGAAGAAATTAATTTCCAACTCTTTATACTGAACCTAAAGAGTTAACCCTCACATCCAAAAGTGCTTCTGCAATGAGTTTGCTTGTTTTAAAAATGCTGAAGCGTTCACAATCTTACTTTGAATATTAAAAAAGGTCATTATTTTCCTGCTATTTTACACCCATGGAACATGTACACTTAGAAATAAACTAATTTGTATGAGATCCAACTCATGAATCTTAGTGAATTTAGGAGAAGGGAATAAAGAGATTACAGTTACTGGCAATTCCAACTGTTACAGCCAAATCCAACAAAGATCACAAATCACAGCTCTTTCCAGCTGCAATACAGAGCCTGGTGAAAGGGGTGAAACCAAGAGACCCCAGTGCAGCTGGCTGGGAAGAGCAATGCCTGAGGACTAGACACGCCACTTTGTCCACCACCATTTCTGTTTCAGGGCTTCTGTTTCACAAGAAGTAAGAACATTCTTTAGGGATGAGAACCATCTCAATCACTCCAGCATGAACTGCCAGGGCTTCTGAGACTCTGGGATGACTGGAAAAACACTTTTTTTCCTGACTTTAGCGGTTTTTTAAACCTCTTCCTGAAATAATCACCACTAGAGCATGTCAAAGTGCAACAAACACACACACACACACACACACACACAAAGAGAACTGATTCAATCTTCCCACAAGTAACAGTGTTAGAAGACAATGTGTCTCACATAAACTCCAACCAAAACTTCAGGCTGCATTTGTACTTATGAGTGGTAAATAGTTTTTTTGAAAGTTACAAAAAAAAAAGAAAAAGAAGGATAAAATCTTACTACCACTGACCTCACTGGAGCAAGGTTGCGTTAGAAGTAAACAAATATTTCATGACATTCAATATTCATAAAAGTTCAATTTCAGAAATAATTACTTTAAACTCATCATGTTAGATAAAAATAGTAAGCCTTCTTTTAAAACAGCTGGTGCAACATAAAATAAAACACTCTGCTGAGGGAAAGTAGCAGAGAAGTATTACGACTTTACTTTCTAAAGTTGCTTTCTCCAGAAGTTAAATTTCAACTGTCCTTTTCCAAGACAAACTCATAAAGCACAACATATGGAAGAATGTATCTCAAAACTGAAATTTTTCATTATTCCTGTCTTCTGACAAAATGTACTCATCTGCTGAATTTAGATACTTCAATGAATTCCAAATCAAATTTATCCTTAATTCAGCATTAAAACCCAATTACATTCTAAATTCTCTGTATACCATCCACCATTCATAAGCAGCTTCAGGTCAACTTCAAAATCAAACACTGTGAACCCTTTACAAACATCATTTTACAGAACTGAAGTACCAGTTCACAAGTACAAGGGAAAGAGATTTAACAGAACAAAACAAAAAAGGGACAAAATAAAATAAAAAATAAAAGAAACAAAGGAAAGAAAGCAAAATAAAATAAAAACAGAGACAGGGCGTCCATCTTCAGCAGGTCAGACTTCGATCTCATTTCCCCCATGAAGGTTTCACTTGGCGGCAGGTTTAGTGGCATGGCAAACAATGCCTAACTCAGGCAAGTGTAACAGGTCTGCCTTGGCCAGTCTAGTCATCTAATAATGCACAAATATCACACAGAGAAAACATACAAAACCAAATTAATAGTCAAAATCCATCTACCAGATAATGTGGATATAAAATTTAGAAAGATTAGGGTGGCATCTTTGTTTAGCTTTCAACCTTTGCATTTTCAAAGTACATTTAACAAAAAAACCTACCAATACACACATATAAGTCATATTTTCACATCTTAATAATCTTACTTCATTTGCAATTACATTTTTATTAAATTGTTCATCAAATGTCACATACTTTACATTGATTTCGTTCTGTAGTGATTTCCTTCTTGATTTACCTATGTTTAAATACACTCCAAATTTCAGATTTTATTCTATTTTTTAAACCAGGCTTTCAGATTTCCATTTTACCTCTCCTCTACATTGAACGTCACACATTAAATGTTTTATTACCGGCAATGTTGGCCAATGGTATAATTTTACCTCCTGCTAGGACAAAAAGCCATCACTACTTTTAAAACCCGATCCACTCCACTGATTCCATTAACAGTGTGTCATATGATACATAGTGAAAAAACCCTTGTGCCATGGTCACCAAAGCCATATTTATTCCACACAATAAATTAATCAGAAAGTTAAATTTGTGTAAATTCACATCTTTTTATAAATTACTGATTTTGATATAAAGTTACAGGGAACAGCATTCTGACGTTAAAAAAAGCGACCTCGAAACCCAATCATTTGTTCACCTAATTATGCATACATTTCTGTGGAGTCCAGAATGATTCTGAACAGTGACAATGTTTTCTCAGAAATGCCTGTTTAGACACTTATGAAAAGAGCTGGAACAAGATTTGTCACAATTTTCATTTATTCTCCTTTCATTCACTGTCTGCCACAAAAGACACAGGAAAATGTAGCTTTACCTGCCTGTTGCCATATCATGTCAGGCAGTGATCTCATCAAAAGAAAAAACAGGAAGTGTTGCTCACTCATTAGGCAGCCATCTCCCTCTCTGGCAGTACTGAATCAACGTTAAGATCTTATTGATGAAATTTAAAACTAAGATTCTGAACAATCTTAAGTCTATTTATTTAGGGGCCATTCTTCAATTGGAGACTCTGGTCTCCTTAGCCTCTCCATAGTTTCCAGTGCATACAGCAATACTCTCTTTGTATACAGCAATATTCTCTTTGTGGTTTAAGAACAAGTCAAAAATAGGAAAATAAAGAGCCCCCAAAACAAGACACAAAAGGAACTAAAAACCTAGGCTTTACAAAGACAAATGTATGCGCTGTATGACCTGCCTAAGAAAGCTACAAGAATAGGCAGTACACTGTAGGCCAATATGGCCTTTAGTAAAAGTATTTTCATAGTTTAGGAAATTTTGGAGACTTGCCAGTTCGTTAAGAATGTCCCAGATGAATATTACAGCAGCACACATCTCACACTATCTGGATATGATGCAGCAAACATGCCAAAAAATGGTACTCTGGGACCATTGTTAACAAACTAAAAGGAGTCAACAGTACTTTTTTTGAATCAAAACCTGACTCTTGCAGTTAGACGTGTTAATAAGAGGTATTTCTTGATCTGCTGCAGTTTACGGTTCAATCACTCTACATATTGCTGTTCATGGCAAAACAGCAAGTTTAAAGTAAAGTCAGGTTCACTTCATCAGCTAGAATGATTCCATTCTAAAGAGGCAATAGATCCAGCACCAGTCAGAGGCGAAATTCCACAGTGATCCCAATGAAGTCAATGGGGCTCTGCCTAACTCTATTGATATGCCTACCACAGGACCCTGCTTCATGTATCTGTATTCAAATCTAGGATGCTTGTAGTAACAACATAAACTGTCTTATACTCAACACATCTGTAAAAGCATGGCCTCAGAGGTAGTTAAAGGAACACCTGTCAACTTAGTATTCATCAAGTATTTTATCTCATTAATAGTTTTAAGAACATTTTATGATGGGAGCATTCTGGACAGATCACTGCATATTCAAACAGACATCCGAAACAAAAAAGTAGTATGAGTATATACAAGAAAAGTTTTTTATGGCACGTGAAGTAACATTTTCAACAGTAACAAGAAGGAAAAATTGTTTTGTAAAAATTAAACTAGCAGATTAACATTTCTATTCAAACAGTATTTTGAATGCCAAGTATCTTCAATTAGATGACTCTAAAATGGCAAAATAAATATATCACATCTATAAGACAAAATCGAGATTCACTCTAAAAAAACGCAGAAATAATCAGTATCTTTTAAAAAGCACAAATCAGTCAAAAATTCTCTACAGCAAGGTGATACATTAAGATTCAAACTGCAGTGTTATGTGTCAGGAAATTGCCTGATCTCTTCAGAGCTCCATTGACTTCAGTGAGAACTCTGTGTGCAAATACCCTTGCCAATACAAATCATAGTGAAAGGAATTACTTTCCTTTCTTTTCCTTCAAAATATGTAATAACTATGGAAACCTGAGCTATGGTAACTTAAACCAACTATCTTTTTGCTAATGCTGAATTTCAAATGAACATGTGTAACTGGGTTTTTCTTAATTCAATTTTCAATTTTGTTTCAAGGCCTTTTTTTTTTCCAAAAAGCAATAAAATAAAATAAAATAACAGAGCATCACCTTACATAAAAAGCTTAAAACAATTAACAGACACAACAAAGACCAACATTACAGAAGAATATCTGTAATACCAACCTTCTGCGCAGGGCACAACTATCAAAGCTCTGTCAATAAAAACCGTGTTAGTTAGATGCTGGGCCACACCAACACTCGATGCTTCACGAAACTTAATATAACATACTTTGGAGGAAAAAGCAAGAGGTGCGTTGCTGCAAGATAAAAGGAAAAAATAACCATTAGTCACAATTGCATACTTGTATTTTTAACTATTACTCCTTAGGGGGGGGAAAAAAAAAAAAGGTATTCTCCTATGAAAGAAAGCCTCAAGTATAGAAATTTACTAACTTGCCAACTTGCTATACCAGTGAAAAAAGCATGAAGCAGCTTTTCTTACTATCTAGCTGCACAACACAGTACACTACATTTCAAATTACCATTTTAAGAAGCATATTTACTTGACAATCACAAGTCAAACAACAAACCCTGCCATTTTTTGGTGGGTCCTTTAGATATTAGCCTGTAATAATCAATATTCTTTCTACGGCTTTCACAAAAGTAGTTTTATTAATTCTTACAAAGAAAAAAGCAGTTCTTGAGAGGGCTTTCAAATACTAGGTCTTAGATGACTATTGTAACAAAAAATATTTTTAAAATTTGTGAAGTTTGGCACAATGTAGCATGGAGTAACACCGGAGAAAGTAGGAGCAACTCACCATTTTGCTACAAAAGGGAAGAAAATTTGTAGTTCACTTTTCCATTACACAGTATGCCAACAGAGAACATGCAAACATTGCAATCTTGAGCAAAATCACAAAAGTTTGCTTTAAAAATGGATTCCCTAGTCAAGGTTTGTAACCTTTTTATTACAGCTTATTTCTTCACACGAAGAAGTACAGGTAAAATATTCAAATAGAGAATACAATACAATATTGCTGGAACATCAGCAATTCTCATTTGAAATAATGGAAAATATGTTGCATAGACTATTTCACCCGGGTCCTATCTCAACCAAAATGGAAACACTTGTCAAATTTCTGGAAGCACCAGCAACAGTTCAAGTTTAATACAACCTATCCTGGAGTCCCCTCGAATTCCGAGCATTTGCTTCCCCAGTTATTCTATGAAATCCTATTAGATTTCAGGATTCAAAAACAAATCAAAAGTTTTAGACACATTATCTCATCATATTAATTACAAAAATAAACCAAGAAAGTAAGCCTGAGGCAGGCAAACTACTATGTTTCTGGCTAACAGGATACCAGTGTACAGTATCTAGAGATGGGTAAATTCAGAATGGCATTCAGAAACATCTGTGATGGAAAATTCTGTAAGAACAGACAACACTGTGGAGAAAAAACTGAACAAGGAGTGGAAGACATGTAAACATGAAAGTTGACCTCATACAATTTAGAAAAATATTACAAGCTAACTAAATTTCTTCTGCCTTTGCAGTGGCTAATGTTTTCACTGTTTCGAGAGTCCACATTCAGGAAGGAAATAACTGCATAGAATAGCTTCTGAGCCAGCTGTTAAGGTTAAGCTGTTGAGACCAGTTTCCATCATCAAGGAGACTGCCAGCTGTGACTTTTTCAGTATTCTAGAGAAACTGCATTTACCACAGATTTCTTTACAAGACTTCTACGGCCACAAGTAGTTTTTTGTTTGGTTTGCTGGGGGAGAGGACTCTAAGGGGAGGAAGGTGAGGGTGTCTTGGGTTTTTTTGTTGTCACTGTATGGTTCTTGCTTGATCTTTTTAAATACACTCCTCAGTGTTATAACCCAAATGGCTAAAGCCACCACTGAAGGTTCTATGATCAACACAGCCTGACAACTTCTAGTATCTCCTGGGTCTTTTTTCTTTTTTGTTTTTCTTGCCAACTCAAAAATATAATTCTGCTCCAGGCAGTTTCAGACCCCCCCAGTAATCCTTATAAATTTTAACTTCTATGGAATCTGCACTGTGTGTTTTTGTAAGATTTACTCTCCAATATTCTCTGATTTAGAACACAAAAGTTATGTGGACATTATGTTTAAAAAATTAGATGTCCGAATACTGGTGCAAATGAGGCCCTATAAAAATATCTTGATACCTAGTATTTTCCAAAGGAAGGAAAAATTCTCTAAAAGATGATCATCTCTACTAAAAACACATCAAAGTTGCATTGAGGGAAACGATTAAGATCTAACAGATCTAAAATTCTAGAAGGTTTAACATGATGGAGTCCTCTCCTTTTATGAAGGGGGCCTCTAAAATCTTCCCATCAGCCTTTTAAAGAAGGCTTCCCTAGAACAGTAAAGTCCTATTCTAATTCCTTGTGCTGCTTTTTTTTTTTGCTAGCCTTTACTGAGGCTGAATTGAGGGAGACTCATGATCTTTTTCCTAGGTTACACAGCCTTATTGTCAAAAAGCAACTCATACATCTCTGATTGAAAGTAACTAAAATTCAGGTAGTCTCTACAGAAAAAATACTAAGAGGAAATAAATAACTAAATAATATCTGGACATTTCTAACATTTTTGTTTCCCTTTGTAAAAAGACAGCAACATTCATCTCGTAATAGGATAAAAATCAACTGAAGTATTTGCTAAAAACGATCTATTCAGAAATCTACAGTAATAAAAGAAACCCAAAGAAAAGGCTACAGTGTATATCTCTAAGTGTCCAAAATTTTGGGGGCAGGGAGGTGGGGTGTGTGAGGTGTGGAGGACATGACAGAAATTAGTAACTAATTAAAACAGAATACTATGGAGTAATAGTGCTCCTCAATTTAAATAAGGCTGTGCGTGTTTCGCCTCAGAAGCCTCATCACCTATATTGCTGTCACTGCAAGATATAACAGTGTCTATTTATTTCACCACAGAGATGACGAGCCCTTTTCTCAGATGAGATGTCCCTTTTCTTGGTTAAGTGATGGTGGCCCATCCACCTGTGTCAGAGTGGTTAAGGTATACAAGTGAGAGTGATTTGGGTGGCACCCCTCAACGCTAAACTAGGCTTTGCCCAGATACTCTGGTTCATGAACAGAACACTTTCAGGCTCCAAGCTAGAGGAGCCCCAAGCCCCACTGCCAAGGCCTGGTTATGGCCTGTGTCTCCACCTCTCAACACCTACTGGGTCACAACCAGAGCGGAGCTTCCTGGCCAATCCAGTCTCGCCCTTGACTAGCCAAAGGTTATGACAAACCAGCCCATCATCCAGCTTTTGGTTAAACCAGAAGTTTGTTCTCAGTGTTCTAGCTTCCAAAACGACTCCAGACCATTCAGAAGCAAGCAGTATCACAAAGCAGGTCTTTCCACACTTCACAGAGACAGTTTATAACTCCCTGCTTTCAAACAACTCATTCTGCAAAAACCCAATTGTTGCTCAGTAAGTTTTTCAACATTTATCTGTTCGAAAGTCCTTTTAAGGCCACATTTGAAGGCTCATTGCTACACATGTAATTTCAAAAGCTACTCTGAAAGACAAGACTTCAACTGGGTGACAAATGTATGGGACTTTCTGTGCATGTGTGGGACTAAGAATCCAATCACAAGGGTGTCCTGCTAAAATGAAAAACACCGCTAGGCTGTGTCAGTGGCTAGCATGCTGGAGTACACACCCAAGGTGAAAGACCTGTCACATCCTGCAAACCGGCCTCAGTTTTAACTCTACTGCAGATTGACAGTGACCTACATTTTGTATGGGACACCTTTGCTTCCCATTCACTTGTCAATGAAATACTGTTTTATTAATTTATCACAATGTTATTTAAAGAAATTTTCAGAAAGTCAACGGGAGACATTTTTTTTGTTTCTAAGGAAGGGCATTAGAATAAATACTTAATTTTCTCCCAAGGTAGGAATTTGGAAGTCAGTTCAAATATCCATAAGTATGAGGCAAGGAAAACCATACTTCCAACATTTATGCATAAATAACAGTAAATAAAACCAAGAGTAAAACAGGTAATCACAATCCTCCATCCTATCTCTGAAAACTAAATTCATCAGCATTGTAACCTTGACATTCCCGAATTATTCCCTACTGTAGTACTAGATTTTTGTATTTTGTGTGTATATACACCCCGGCAAAATTGTACACACTGGCAAAACCATTACTTGTGTACGAATGTCAAGAAAGCCCCCATTTCCCTTAAAACCTATTGTATAATGAAAGTAAAAGACAAGAACAACAGCTGAAGCAAAAAAATATATTCCGTTAAGAAAAAACCCAAAATATAAAGAATCAACCACGGAATAAGTCCAGGACAAAGCCCTAGAAAAACCCTAAAAAAATCCACTATATAGCTCTCAGTAAGGCATATCTTACTTTAAGCATATTTTACATATTAAATATTTATTTTTTCTGAATGGCTGGTATTCAAACATATTCAGATGTTACGTAGCTACATGAAAAGGATAAACACCAACTTTCTGGCTATTCTCTTTTGCAAATCGAAGTTTTGTTAGCCTAAGCATTTTTGTATCAAAGTTCGTGTACTGGGATGCTAATAATGCCCTCTCCTTTCCACTACTCCGATTTTTCTAAGAAAACACAAGGTTTGACAAGGCACATTTGTTATTCGCTTCCTAGTACAACTGCTGCCTCGAGAGAAAAAAAAAAAATTTCGATTCTTCCCCCTTTCTGTCGATCATTCCCGGGAAAGGTAACACTGTAATTTTGCAAGCCCCTGCATCTCCCACCTGAGCGTACCCCTCGCATGCCGCTGACACCACGCGAAACGCTGTAATTTAGGGAGAGATGTGACGCCCGTGACTAATTTACTGCACAAGTCTTATTGGGGGCAACTGCGAGCAAAAGTCAGGTTCCTTCCCTCTGCAAAACCTCAGCTACTTTGGCTTCTGTTCGAATGGCGCCTTCTCGGAGCACAGAAGGGGAAAAAGAAGAATAATAAAGGCAGTCAAGCGAGGGCGGGCCTGGAACTCCTCGTTCTAGCTGGCCTGAACGCAGCGTGGGCGAGGAGAGAGACAGGCCACAGAAAGCGGCTTTTTAG